CCTCTCACATATTTATACATGGCTATCATATCCCCTCTCAGCCTTCTCTTCTTCAGGCTAAACATGCCCATACATACAAACTTATATAGAGATAGGGCAATAACCACAACTGATCAGCAGGTTTAGCAAGGACATGTCACTGCTGTTTTGCTGAATCTGAACTAAACGTATCTCTCAAAAACAATACCATTTGTAATATTATGTTCTAGGGAAGAGGGGAATAAAGAAAGAAGCATCAAAACTAGGAATGTACAACTGTCTTTTTTAGAGAGTTATTATGGAGAAGAGGAATATCCAACCTTTCCTGAGTGAGACAAGGTGAAAGAACTGAGGAAGAGCCGGGGATATAGTATGAAATACTTTTTGATCCCTTGCCTTGGCCAACAGGAGTTAACTGATACCTGAATAGCTCATTCATTACTGGCTGAGAATAATGTAATATGCGTTACACCTGAATAAGAATCATATCAATAATGATACAGTTTCAGTCACAGAATATTTAGTCACATCATGTGTCACTTAGACAAATATAATTTTTCAAAGCCTGCCAGCATTAGTGAAAATGCAAAGTATCATGGTATAAAAATTAGTACCATCATAAGCCTACTGACAGCTGTAAACTAACATAATCATGGAGTATTAAAAACTGAGCCATAATAGCCTATGGTAAGAATTACTGTATTTATGACTGTATTGTTAAAATCACATTTAGAATAGATAAAATAAATGCTTTGAAATTTAAGCATAAACATAACACCTCAAGAAATGTCAACTTAAGAATATTATGTTCTAAAATACAAGGTGCAATATGCTCCAATACAACTCTTACAAAAGTATATGTTGTTTTATTGAGATAAATTACCCATCTCTCTTATCTCCAATACTTCTTGGCTCTCCAGCATCTGTTTGGAGGCACAAGGAAAATAAATACACCAAGCTACTTTGAATCAACTCCATAGCCTGGAGTGGCTTACTTTATTGCAAATACTAAAAACTACAAACTATTTACAGAGGTAGCAAAAATGTGTTTATCCACCTAGCTGTACATCATTGTTATTAGATCTCTATACGTCACTGGAACACTCCAAAGTTACGCTCTAAGAATCTATCACAGTTCTATGCATTTAACTCTCACATTACATTGCTTATTCCTACAGTTTAAACTATTACAATATTTCATTACATTTAAACCACCATATTCTAATAGTATATTCTACTGATATTAGAGTTAGGCATATAGAATTGCAGCCTTAATATATTCATAAAGAAATATAAAAGCAAGGGTGAAAAATAGTAAAATTCATTCTGTCATTCCTTGTTTCTCACCTTATATTCATCCTTGTCTTGGAGATCTGATGTGAATAATCTTAGCTTCTTATCAGAAGCAGCAGTACAAAACCTAATCAGAAAAACAGTCCAGTATCAAATGTGATCATGCAACTAAAACATAGACAACTATCTTAGAGACATATTTATTTCTCAAAGAAAATCTACATGGCTCATTATGAAGAGGAAAAAAAATAAACTACCACAGTTCTTTGAATGTTGATATCAAGTCACAGCCATTAAATGTGCCAGTGCATTATTATTTTAAGCATTTTCACCTGCTCTAAAAATTCACCTAGTGTGGTTTAGATATAATCTATTAACACAAGGCAGTCATATAAATGATATAAAACAAGAGGATAGTGGAATGGGGAGACAAAAAGAAAAGTTAGGCACAGTTGCTCCTAATGACAACTGCCATTTAATTTGAGTAGCAAGTGCCTAATTTTGCCTTTTGCTTCCAACATCCCAACAGTCCTTTGTGACACATCTTTTAGATGATATGTCTGTCTTGTTTTAGCTGATATTTATGGGTGTTTTAATCAACAGCAGTTAAATGCATTGCACACATTTAAACTGTGGTATTCTTTTAAAAGTGGCTGGGTGAAATGGTTTTGGACAAAAAGTTAAGAAACTGAATGAAAGTAGGGATGGATAGTACCTTAGACAGAAAGGGTGGATCTGTTTATTCGTTTATATGTTATATTATATCACCTTTCTCCTAACAAGGCACTTTTAGAGTCAGAATGAGTTTTTTTCTCCCTTTGAGGTCTGATAAATATTCTGATCCACAGAAATTGCTGTTATCTGTGATAAGATTTTTGTATCATGAAAGGTACTTTAAATGTCAGTATGCATAACAAAGCTTCATACATAGGCTCAAATAACTGTTCATACTAAGTACAGTACTAAGTTTATATCCCAAGTAGAAAACATGTATAATATTACTGGACACTTTAGAATAGCCACTTGTTGATAGTGGTGCGGATCATCTGATGAAGGAATTTCTGAGAATCAGCCAGGAATTGGCAAACTTGCATGGCCACTTGTAAAAAATCCTTAAGACAGTATGTGGATTAGATGTCAATTTTTTGCCTTGCAATTTGAAAACAGCCTACTGTTTTTTCAGTGTGTTAGGACAAAAGACCGCTGTCCAAACCTGGGTGCAAATAATCCTAAACTATCTCCAGTCCTCATGTCCTGAAGTAGAACACCATGAAGCTGACTCTTGGATTTCAAACACCTTTCATGTGATTTAAGATTTCTGTATGTGGACAATCAATGAGAGGCCAATATAATTTCTATTACATGAATGATCTTCCTGTCATAATTAAAAATAAAGTCTTCAACAGTGGAGTTATATCAGAGATCTTTTGGTCAAATGAATTAGAAGGAGAAACCATGGTCTACTTGTCTAGAAAGGAGTCAAGATGACATTGGCTCTCTTGTAAACAAATTTTCCTAACATTCTTGCCATTATTGGAATTGAATGATACGAAACTAACAATGTGGTGGCTAAGGACACAGGACCATAATGCTCTCACACTCCTGTCCACTGAGTCAAAATATTGAGGAAATTTTGCATTTCTTAAACATACACTTCCCAGTACCCTCCTGCTCTAGCTGATTAGCCAAATTTAAGCCTCCTCTTTCTATGGGCACACCATTGAATTTTCCATGTGAATATAGGTATTCCCCTTTTACCATTTGAGTTAGGCTTGTGCCTGAAATCACAACTATCTTCTTTGATTCTACAAATGGCACCCTCTTTTGTAACCTGAGTCCACCTTAAAATACAGCTCTTCAGTTCATGACAACCCAGCATGAAGCTTTAACAGTATTCCAAGATGGAATTTCAGAAATAACTGCAATCGTCAGATGTTAAATTGTGCCCAAGGCATCAGCTGAATCATGAACATTAACATACCTAGAATCTGAGCTAGATGTGTGACATCTGCATATTTTACTGTTGCCAACCTTTACACACTCTTCCAAATATTTCCAAATACTTTCCTTTTCACAGAAACAAATATGCCTGATGTGTCTATTTCTGCTTCCAAATGAGTCAAGCACTTGGCTGGTTGACTGTGACTCCGTCTCAAGGTCACCAGAAGATACTAGGTGCTTTCTTTGATTTCTCTTTCTGCCTTGCACCTTTTCTTTAAAGAATTGTGTATAAGTATATAAAAAGCTGGATTCCTTATTTCCTGAAATGAGCTCTCAAAGGAGCCAATACTTGCTCAAATACCTGAAATGCAGATATAAGGACAAAAGGAGGACTTTGAACTGATATTTCTTTCCATAGAATCTGAAAGGAACATTTTGCAGAATTGTCCAATTAGAACATGTAGGTAAGCTCCCAGCATATCTATTGAGGAGAAATAAGCACCCTGCTGCAAATCGTAGTTTATAAAGTTTCCATTTTGACATGCTGATACCTGACAAAATTGTTCATGAAATCTAGGAATGGATGATAACCTCCAATGTGTTTTCAGATGGTAAAAAAGACTGAATGAATACTATTGGACAATTGACTTGAGAAAATGAATTCTATATCATCAATCTGTTGGTGGAGGGTTTTCTGATGCACATATCATTTTCCTCTTTGATCTTGGGCAAATGAGAAAAAGGCATCTGCAATCTGTCTTTCTGTGTTGTAAATTCCTATATCTAATATCAAAACCCAGCAATCTGGAGTTGGTTCAAAAAGTGGCAAAAAACAGAATGCCAGTATTCCTGCTCTGTGACAGTGTGAAACATCTTCCAGTTTTCTCTGGAGTCTATTATCTGAATTCAAATTTAGTTCGCTTCTACTGTACTCAGATGTTCCAGAATCAAGCTGCCTTCAAAAACCCGACCCAAGGCAAAGGAAAAGAACAGTGATCAGAAAGGCTTCTTCTTGGAACAATAAAACAACAATTTTATTAGCAAATTACCGTATCTGAGGAGGTAAAGCATCAAGTCTACTTTCTGGACTCCATCCAATGGCATCAACTCTAATTCCATGATGAAATATTCTTTGTGTTTTATACTGTATTCCTTCCACTTCTGCATCTTCCTCCTACAAAAGAATACAATACTTAAAATAAGCCAAATAGTTATTAAGTACATCCTGGTCACTAGATTTGAAACTAAGCAGTCACTTTATCACTTTTGCTTCAGAAAAGCTTTAGGTTTATTTTACTAAAATGCTTATTTTATTTATTGGCTTTATACCTCACTTTTCTTCTACAATGGGGTTCAAGACAACATGTTTACCTTCTCTTTAAGGACATATGTTTTGAAAGTGTGGAATGGTCACTGAGAAATCCCAAATGCCAGCATCCACCACCCTAATCTGCTAGTGGATCAGAGTGTCCAGTCACTAACTATAATCTTAATGGTTATCCAAGATCATATAGGTGTCTGTATTTGTATGCTGAATAGATGCAGAGAAACTTGTCTATGCCTCCTGTTTTCTCTTACCGATTTAACAGTACCTGTTAACTTTTCCATTAAGTCAAAGGGCCAAACTCAATTTAACCATGCATCAACATATACATTTGTAGATTTCCAACAACTTCTTGTGTTGCTACTGGCCATCTCAAATTTATAAACTCTTTATTTTTTTTAAAAAATGAAAATGATAGTTTTTCATTTTAAAAAAATAATAACTTTTTGTCCTGTCATTTCAGTAATAAAAATGATCAGATTGGGAAGTCTACCCAAAAGTGCTTCACATTTTTAATATGAAGCTCACATATGATTTAGCGTGCCTAACATATTATATCCCTTTCAAACTGTGCCAAATTAGAATAAATTTTATACATTCTTGTTAGTGTACAATGCCATCTACCATACTCATGTATAAGTTTGTAACTGGGTGTTACACAGCAGGATAGAGAAAACATCCATCCACTTCACATATTATTTATGTCCCTCCTTGAGTCTCCCAGACTGGGACTCAAGCTGGCTTGCAAAAATGACAGAATACAATAACACACATATAGTTACAAACACACACAATCAAGACTAATATAGTATCAATTATATATGTATTAATACAGCCTGAATTTACACATATAAAACCTTACTATAAAGCAGATTAAAAACTGAAGGCTTCATTTTAGGTTTATCCTCTGAAGATGCCAGCCACAGATGCAGGCAAAACATCAGAAGAAACTGCTGCTAGAACACAGCTATACAGCCCAGAAACCACACAACACTTCAGTGATTCTGGCCATAAAAGCCTTCAACAATACATTTAGATCTATGCAGCAAAGAGCTGGCTGCAGTGCAGAGTTCAGCTGTCATTGCCTCCTCAAATGATGTCACTTCCCAGTCTAGTCTGCTCTAGATGGGTTCAGTGGCAAAATACAGTACCACTTGAATGCACTGTTGAATCGTGACAGGAAAATATTTGAGTATATTTTTGTATTTCTTGATCTTAGAGAGCTTGTTTGTGTAAAAAAAGGGAGGGGGATAGACTCACATGCAATGTGTAGGCTGCCCAATGATGACTTACAAATGTAAAAGCTAAAATTGCTGCCTTGAATTGTGTCTAAAAACTAAAAGGCAAAGAATATAAACAATTCATAAAGGGTGTAGTCAGGGTTCACTCTGAATTATATCATTTTATTTAAAATGCTATTGAATTTCTGTTTGAGCAGTTAAAGTTTGCCCTTGGCTATTTTGGTAACTATTGAGTTCAAGGACCAAGCTGTCCTTTGGCAAATGAGCAGGATAAGGAAAACTAAAAGCCAAAGTAACAGGTGGAAGTAATATAGTTCAAGTGCCTAGTTTTCATACAATCCTTACTGTTGCAATCCATACCAGTTAGTTTCTAAACTGTTTTCAAGGGCAGCACTATGGCAACAGAGCACAGTAAAGTAAGTTAACTTGAATCATAACTAAGGCATGTGCTGCTGTGATCATGTGAGCTAGTCTAAACTGGTCCAAAGCACTCATGGCGACACATGTGCCTCCATGGACAAAAATGAATCCTAGAGCACTTCTAGACTGCATACAAGGTCAATGTATGACTATTTAGAATCAGATTTTAAATCTAGACCCAGATTAGCACAACTACTTCTGTCTTAACATTAGATTTCATATTGGTATTTCCTATTAATTCTAGTTCTTCCTTCAGAAATCCAAGGTTGCAGTTGCCTCCCTGAGATTACATGGTGAAAAAAAGTACAGAAGGGGTAAAGATGCTTATTAGTTTAATACCTCAACACAAACCTATATACAGAACTGTCAGTGGGTTATGTAGAGGCTGAAAGGTATTTGGGAGAAGACTGAAACCAGGGAAACTATAATATTAATGACTAAAAAACTGGATAAAATGTCCTGCAACAACAGATTTTAAGTGCCCCTACCCTATGGAAAAAATAAACAACGATCAGCAATCTTTTCATCCTGGGCAGAGGTGATTAATAGGGTGGTGCACGGCTCTGCCCTAGGCCCAGTGCTGTTCAACATCTTTATTAATGACTTGAATCAAGATTTTGAAGGCATGCTTATATAGTTTGCAGATGACATCAAACTGGGAGAGACATCAGAATTCAAAATTACCTTAACATTAGTAGACCACAAGTTGAACATGAGCCAACGATGTAATGCAGCAGCTTAAAAATTCAATGGGAGTTTGGGCTGCATCAAAAGAAGTCTAGATCAAGGGAAGTCATGGTGCACCTCTAGTCCGCTGTGGTTAGACCACAATTGGACTACTGTGTCCAATTCTGGACACCACAATTCAAGAGAAGATATTGACAAGCTGGACGGGATCCAGAGGAGGGCAACTAAAATGATCAAAGGTCTGGAGACCATGAATCCCTATGAGGAGCACCTTAAAGAGCTGGGTATGTTTAGCTTGCAGAAGAGAAGGTTGAGAGGAGACGTTATTACCATGTATAAATATTTGAAAGGATGTCATAAGGAAGAGGAAACAGGCTTGTTTTCTGCTGCGCTGGAAACCAGGACTTGGAGCAATGGGTTGAAATTACAGGAAAGGAGATTCCACCTTAACATTAGGAAGAACTTCCTGACAGTAAGAGCTGTTCAGCAGTGGAACTCTCTGCCTCTGGTGGAGGCTCCCTCTTTAGGGACTTTTAAACAGAATCTGGAGGTGAAGGGTCTAAAAAGGAAGTCATTGCTTGTACAAGCAGAAAGGTACTGTTAACAAGAGGTTCCATATCTACAAAAGTCCACCTCCAGTTCTGTCAAAATTGTGGAAGTCAGATAACCATAAAAATGAACAATTTTATTTCCCAAATGTAATACAATCTGAAGACAACAGGTTTATGGATTTTTTTTTACCGATAACTTTTAGGGTCTCAATCAAGTAAGATTAATTTGTTTCACAAGACCTTCAGTGGTCAACATCATGTAAATTCGATCATTTTAAAAATTACCATCGTGGTCACAAAGTAGTTCCTACAATAGGAACTTAACTGTAATACGTACAATTTGGCAACTATGATGTCCTGTGCTGTTTCACATATCACTCTCAGCCTGGATATCAAAGAATGGGAGTTCTTAATATCACTTCCAAGACAGCTATCAGATCATTTAGTGCAGGGATCCTCAAACTAAGGCCCGAGGGTCGAATACGGCCCTCGAAGTTCATATACCCGGCCCTCGCTCAGGGTCAGCCTAAGTCTGAAACAACTTGAAAGCACACAACAACAACAACAACAACACCACAACAACAACAACTATCCTATCTCATCAGCCAAAAGCAAGCCCACACTTCCCATTGAAATACTAATAAGTTTATATTTGTTAAAATTGTTCTTCATTTTAATTATTGCATTGTTTTTAAGTGTTTTTGCACTACAAATAAGATATGTGCAGTGTGCATAGGAATTAATGCTTTTTTCAAATTATAATCCGGCCCTGCAGCAGTTTGAGGGACTGTGACCTGGCCCTCTGTTTAAAAAGTTTGAGGACCCCGGATTTAGAGGCACTATTAGACAGTGAAGTGGAACTATATCAACAATCTTCCCAACATGTTTCTATTATCAAACACTGGAAACTAGCTGAATGGCTAACATGGTACCTGGTCACTGTTAACTATAATGCACACTAACCTGAAACCTGCAAGTTCCAACAACCACATAATGATTGCCACCATATGCTATCAGAGAATCTGCAGTTCCGCTCTCAAATGGGCTGAATTCCACCACATGCACATAATCTTCACATTCCACAGTATAGGATGCACTTCGGGAAGCTTCCTGTTTCATCTTCAGCGGAGGTATTCTGAGTAACCAGATGGAAGACTCCTCAGCTGGACAAGGAGCTAAATAGTAAACATACACATAGTTAGATAACCAGACATGTAGCCGGGGGGGGGGGGGGGGCTTGAGGGGCTTCAGCCCCCCCGCCCAAATCCTCATGGTGGTCCGCGAAAAGGCCTTACTGGTGCATTATTTAAACTGTTATGTTTATTCATATCATGATCTGATCACCATGCTCAATATATCCTCCTGAGGTTTGTTTGTTTCTGGCATGCCAACCCCAATGTTTCACAATCAAGACATGCAGAAAGGAGGGCAGAATTGTGGGTCCCCAAGTTTATTGCTTCAGTTGCCAAGGAAGTATGCCATGGGAATTACCAGATTTGACATATGCTTCAGTTAGGAGGGGCTTCAGGGTGGTCCGCAAGAAGGCCTTACTGGTGCATTATTTAAACTGTTATGTGTATTCATATCATGATCTGATCACCATGCTCAATATATCCCATATGCATGGGGGTATTGGGGTAATGATACAAAAGGTTTGCTAGGCTAGACCCTCTTTCACTCAGACTCAGCCCCCCACCAAAACTCAGCCCCCCCTGAACCCCCCCTGAAAAAAAATCAACCCCCCCCCCCCAAAACGAAATCCTGGCTACGGGCCTGTAGATAACTCTCATTGTTCCAAATAATAATAGTAATAATAACAAAGCCCCACAAAACGTTTTTGGTGTCTTGTTTTTTAGGGATGTCTCTGGGTTTATTTGGGGGGGGGGCAGTTCAGAAAATTGCATTGGATAGAACCCATTAGCACTAATTTCTTAGATATAGATATCAATGAACGTTCCCTTACATAGAGCGGCCTGGGGTCTTGAGCGGGCGGTGGATTCCCACGCAAACAATCCCTTCGCTCGCTCACCTCATTCCCTCTGTTTCTCTCCCGCGAAGAATTCGTGAGGCAGCTGCGCTTCCGGGTGAGAGTCTCTTCCGGGTCGCCGCGGGTCCCGCTTTCCGATTGGTTGAGACGCGCGGCGTTCGAATTCAAACCTCTGCCGCTGACAGCTGCTTCTTTGGCTCCGTGGAAGGAGCCTCCTTGGAGGGAGCGCCTCGAGGAAGGCCGCAGTGCCCAGGTGAGGGGCGTGGGGCTCCAGTGGGACTCGACTCCACCTGAACTGCCCTGGCTCAAGGCTATGGGACCCCGGGAGTTGTAGTTTTACAAGGTCTACAATGGTTCTCAACCTGTGGGTCCCCAGGTGTTTTGGCCTACAACTCCCAGAAATCCCAGCCAGTTTACCAGCTGTGAGGATTTCTGGGAGTTGAAGGCCAAAACATCTGGGGACCCACAGGTTGAGAACCACTGGTCTACAAGGCCTTTCTCCATCTCTGGCAAAGATTGCTGTCCCTCACCAAACTACACCTCCCAGGATTCCATAGCATTTAATTATCGCAGTTAAGGTGATCTCAAACTGCATGAATTCTACAGTGAAGACTAGGCCTGGGCAAACTTGGGCCCTCCAGGTGTTTTGGACTTCAACTCCCACAATTCCTAACAGCCGGTAGGCTGTTAGGAATTGTGGGAGTTGAAATCCAAAACACCTGGAGGGCCCACGTTTGCTCAGGCCTCCTGTAAATACTGAAAAGCAGTGGTTCTCAACCTGTGGGTTCTCAGATATTTTGGCCTTCAACACCCAGAAATCCTAACAGTTGGTAAACTGGCTGGGATTTCTGAGAATTGTAGACCAAAACACCTGGAGGGCCCAAGTTTGCCCAGGCCTGGTCTACACTGTAGAATTAATACAGTTTGAGAACCACTGCTGAAAAGGGACAGCAGAAGTGTAGTGGTTTGAATACTAGACAGTGACAGTGGAGACTTGGGTTCAAATCCTCACTTGGACAAGGAAACCAACTGAATAGCTTTGGACAAATCTCATCCTCTCTGTCTCAGAGCAAAAAAAAGGTAAACCTCCCTCTGAAGAAATCCTGCAAAGAAGATCCCATTATATGTTTGCTTTAAAGCCACCATAAGTTTGAAATGACTTATCAATTTATTTATTGTGTCAAAAGTGAGTTGAGGGTATAATTAAAATGCATTTAAAAAACATAAAGTTTAAAAGAATTTGGCATTATGCTAAATGTCCTTTGATCTGAAGTTGGCCACTTGGAGTGCCTCAGGTGTCACTGTGGGAAGGCCCTCTGTATTGCATGTGGCAGGGCTCAGGTTACATTGTAGTAGGTGGTCTGTGGTTTGCTCTTCTCCACACTTGCATGTCGTGGACTCCACTTTGTGGTCCCCATTTCTTAAGGTTAGCTCTGCATCTCATGGTGCCAGAGGGCAGTCTGTTCAGCGCTTTCCACTTTTCTGTGTGCCCAGAAGGGAGTTTATCATCCAGTCTCAGCCACTGATTTAAGTGCTGGATTTTAGCCTGCCACTTTTGGACTCTCATTTGCTGAGGTGTTCCTGTGAGTATCTCTGTAGATCTTAGGAAGATGTTTCTTGATTTAAGGTGTTGGCATGCTTATTGATATCCGAACAGAGGATGGGCCGAATATGTCACTGCCTTGGTCCTTTCATTGCTAGCTGCTACTTCCCAGCAGATGTCAGATGGTGCAATACCAGCTAAACAGTGTAATTTCTTCAGTGGTGTGGGGCGGCATGTCTTATTAAGAGTCACATCCACTGTTTTAATGTGGTGAGATGTATTCCACACTGGGCATGCATATTCAGCAGCAGAGTAGTAAATCACAAGGGCAGATTTCTTCACTGTGTCTGGTTGTGATTCCCAGGTTGTGCCAATCAGTTTTTGTACAATATTATTTCTAGCACACACTTTTTGCTTGATATTCAAACAGTTCTTCTTATAGGTTAGAGCATGGTCCAGAGTGACTTCCGTGTATTTTGGTGTGCTGTAATACTCCAGGGATTCATCTTAAGAAATGACTTGAAGGCACATAACAAATTTCTTCCAAGGAGCCTAGGCCCAGCTGTAGATGTGAGTCCTGTTCACTAAGTCAATGTAGATAAACCTTCCCCGGGTTGTTCTCTTTTAGATGTGTTTAATTGCAACTTGTATCCCATTATAGACTAGAATATCTGGACAGGTTCCAGGGCATGGCCGATGATAAAGATGCTTTATCATATCTGACAAGGAGCCCCCAGTGACGCAGTGGGTTAAACCCCTGTGCCGGCAGGACTGAAGACCGACAAGTCGCAGGTTCGAATCCGGGGAGAGGCGGATGAGCTCCTTCTATCGACTCCAGCACCCCATGCAAGGACATGAGAGAAGCCTCCCACAAGGATGATAAAAACATCAAATCATCTGGGCGTCCCCTGGGCAGCGTCCTTGCAGACGGCCAATTCTTTCACACCAGAAACGACTTGCAGTTTCTCAAGTCGCTCCTGACACGACAAAAAAAAATCATATCTGATGCCCTTTTTTGAAACCACCTTTCTAAAATCTAAAATTCTAAAATAAATTGTGTTCTTATGTTGAAAGTGCCATTCCTGTTTAATTGTGCAGTACTTTGAAAGTAGTTATAGTCCAGAAACTACATCGTTGTAGCTGTCACAAACTATGTTGAATTGGTTGAAATTATGAGATATTCATTGAAAAATATGGCAAAATGTGCTGCAGTGTGGGGCTGCATTTGGCTGATGAAAGAGTCAAGTTAATTAAGATTGTTGTTGTTTGTCTTCAAGTCGTTTCAGACCTAGGGCAACCCTAAATGTAAAGTTTAGACTGGGGGCCAGGTAAATAACCTTGGAGCACCGCATTTGGCCCATGGGCCTTAGTTTGGGGGCCCTTGCGCTATTCCATCTTTTCCGTTTGAATGTTCACAGGTCCTCTCTCTCAGTTATGTTCATTTTATATCTTGTTTTATTTGTTTTAGGATCATGTCATTTGTCCAGCAAAGAATCTTGGATATGATTCGGTGTTTTCGAAAGGAATGGCGCTTATATTCAGATTCTGAAAGGACAACTGTATGTGGTATAGACTCCATGCTGGTGGCTTTGCAGCTATCAGTTGCAGAAATCAATAAAAAGGTTAGTGTACTAAGAGACAGTAACTGGCTTGACCTTGAGCTCTGATGTGGGCTGCTCCATGAGATCATGAAGAGTCTGAAGCGAGTGAACGAATAAACAACAAAACAACAACACTAAGACATATTCACTGTTGCATTTGTAAACTGCCCAAATTAAGTTAATATGTCTGAATTATTTATTTATTCAGAACATTTATACCCATCCTTCTCAATCTCTGAAGATGGACTCAGGACAGCTTCCAACAGGCAACTATTTGATGTCGATATAATAAAATAACATAAAATACAATTAGCATACATTAAAAACATTAAAACAGTTTGCTGGTTCAAATTGACATCCAAATCAGTCCACTGCAGTCCATTTAAAGCTTATCTTCACCAGTAAATCAGTCTATTCTGCAAATGCTTGATCCCACAGCCAGGATTTGAGTTTCTTCCGGAAGGTCAGGAGGGATGGGGCAGATCTAATCTCATCAGGAAGGGAGTACCACAGCCGAGGGGCCACCACAGAGAAGGCCCTGCCTCATACCCACGCAACTGCAATGGCGTTAGGACCGAGAGTAAGGCCTCTCTGGATGATCTTAAGGTCCTTGGTGGTTCATGGAGGGAGATACGTTTGGACAGGTAAACTGGGCAGGAACCATTTGGGGCTTTATAGGTTAAGACCAGCACTTTGAATTGTGCCCGGAAGCTAAAAGGCAGCCAGCGGAGCTTGCGTAACAGGGGAATTGTACATTCCCTGTTCCCCTCTCCCGTGAGCAACCTGGCTGCTGAGCGTTGGACTAGCTGAAGCTTCCGAGCAGTCTTCAGAGGCAACCCCACATAGAGTACATTGCAGTAATGTATTCGGGATGTAACCAGAGCATGGACCACCATGGCCAAGTCAGATTTCACAAGATATGGGCGCAGCTGGCACACAAGTTTTAACTGTGTGAAAGCTCCCCTGGCCACCACCGAGACCTGGGGTTCTCTGCTGGCATCATAAACTGGACACAGGCAGAACTGGACAATTTGGACAGAAAAACTAGAAAACTCACGACCATTCATAATTCATTACATCCTCACAGTGATGTCAACGGGCTCTATCTGCCTAGAAAGTCTGGGGGCAGAGGACTTTTACAAGTAAAACAAGCAGTCGAAGAAGAAAAACACTCCCTGGCAGAATATGTAAAGGAAAGCTAAGAACCTGCTTTAATTGAAGTCAATCAGAAACTTCTCAAAGCACAGCAAACCAAGAACCAGTACAAGAAAACTGCACTCCAAACCAGAGCTGACAGCTGGCACAACAAAGCTTTGCATGGGCAGTTCCTTGAGAAGATTGAAGGAAAAATTGACAAGGAGAAGACCTGGTTATGGCTCATGAATGGAACCCTGAATAAGGAGACAGAAGGCCTGATTCTTGCAGCCCAGAAGCAAGCCATCAGAACCAATACAATTAAGGCCAGGATTGAAAAATCAGCGGATGACCCAAAATGCAGACTATGCAAGGAAGCTGATGAAACCATGGATCATATCCTCAGCTGTTGCAAGAAAATCGCACAGACGGACTACAAACAAATACACAACTCTTTGGTCCAGATTATTCATTGGAACCTATGTCACAAGTACCACCTGCCAGCAGTAAAGAATTGGTGGGATCATAAATCTGCAAAGGTTGTGGAAAATGAACATGCAAAAATACTGTGGGACTTTCGAATCCAGACTGACAAAGTTTTGGAACACAATACACCAGACATCAAGATTGTGGAAAAGAAAAAAGTCTGGATTATTACCGGGTGACAGTCGCATTGAGGAAAAAAAACAGGAAAAACTCAGCCACTATCAAGACCTCAAAATCAAACTGCAAAGGCTCTGGCATAAACCAGTACAGGTGGTCCCAGTGGTCATTGGCGCACTGGGTGCCGTGCCAAAAGATCTCAGCCGGCATTTGGAAACAATAAACATGGACAAAATCAAGATCTGTCAACTGCAAAAGGCCACCTTACTTGGATTTGCGCGCATCATTCGAAAATACATCACACAGTCCTAGACGCTTGAGAAGTATTCGACTTGTGATTTTGTGATACGAAATCCAGCATATAGATCTCGTTTGCTGTGACATACTGTACTTTTGTGTCAATAATAATAATAATAATAATATCTTGACCTTGTGAAACACAATGTGGATTAGCCATTCATTTGGGCATGGAATGAGCTAACTGCATTCTCACTGTGTTTTATTGTTTTTATTTTAGTCAGTAAATTTAAAAACCACTTCCTAAAGTATTGCTTTTTAAGCATTTCTCTGTACTATATACTATGGAAATCTTTCACTAGCATGGGTATGATTGTGGATTTCTGCGGTTATATTTAGAAGCCTATGTCTATTCTTTATGTATACTTATTTTTTATTTATTTACTTTGTTTTATATCCCGCTCTCTCTGCCTCATTGAGGGATTCAGAACAGCTCACAGGCAGCAGGCATTCGATGCCATTCACCATAACTCATATCATATTGAAAATGCATATCAATAAAAACATAAAATTTATGTAACTAATCTAAAAATAATAATACAGGATAAGACACTGATTAAAACTCCTATCATTAAAGTTCAAAACCACCACTTTCCCATTGCTTTATTCCATATCAATTGCAGTTGACCCAACTTAACTGTTGTCTTCCCCAAAGGCTTCCTTCCAAAGGAAAGTTTTTATTTGTTTCCTGAAGTATATTTCCTTTACAACTCCACTTAATTAATACTGTAAAAAGACATTTACCCATATATACTGTATATACTGTAATTAGAAGTGGGAGTGTTAAGGCTGTTAAAATGGGAGTGTTAAGTGTTAAAATGTTCTAAAGAAACTTGATTGTTGCAAAAATGTTTGGAAGAACTACTTTGATATAAGATTCCCGAACTTTGCTTTCCATTTTATCTGTGTGAAATATAATGTTTCTGTTGTGTATCAGAGAATTAAAGTTTTGAACTATGTGAACTTCCTCTATAAATTAGCCAGCTGGCATTTGTTCCTAACAAAACATTTTTCTCAGTTATACTATAACTTCTTACAATCCTTTCTATGAATAATATGCTGTTGCACTGGGCACCTGATCATGAAAACTGATTTCTGGAAAGCATTTTTATTTGCATTTGAAATGTTTTTATTCTAGCAGTATCAACACGACTCCTCAACCTGTGGGAAAAAGTTTTGGCTTAATTATAATGGAGCTAGAGTAGCTATTATTATGTTTCAAAATTATGTTTAAGAAATGTTTTTTTAATGTTTAAGAAATGAAAACTAGTGTTGAAAGACATCCTCAGTTATCTTGAAGGCTAAAACCCTATGCCCTTAGAAATGGCTTTCTGTCAATAAAGTATTTTTCATCTTGATCTGTTCTTTTTTATAGTATGGTCATAAACATTTTACTGTACAGCAATGCATTTTTTAAAAGATTTGGAAAAAAAAATACATAGTTATTTTTCTAAAATAGTCCCTCAGCCACATTCAATATTAAATTTATCATTTTAAAAAAAATTCAGGACAATAAGATTGTTTTCTGTTCTTGTGCATCTGCAGCTCCTGTTCTGAATAAATGATACAATGTTTATTTTTTTTTTATTTAGCACCATGGAGATTTTAATGCATCTCTCAGTGAAGTTGTATTATCGTGGAATTACTTTTTACTGGACAAGCTTGCCGTATTACACAAAAACATGGAACCTCCTGAAAACTATGTGGAAATCAAAATTGCTTATGATAATTTTTTAAGATGCTGCAACATGCTGGATCTTATTGACATATATAAAAAATGGAGGGCGGTATCACTGGAAAATGAATTTATATCTTCTGTAAGTACTTACATTCTAGTTATGTTATATGCATTTGTGTAATTATTTAATATCCTTTCTTTCTCCTCATTCAGCTATTTGCAGACACCAGTGACGACCAATATACTATATATACTTGAGTATAAGCAGAGTTTTTCAGCCCTTTGTTAGGCTGAAAAAGCCCCCCTCGGCTTATACTCGAGTCAAGGTTATTTATTATTTTACTCTGTTATTATTATTATTATTATTATTACATTTATTATTTTACTTTATTATTATTATTATTATTATTATTATTACATTTATTATTTTCTCTATGTATTGTTATTATTACTGTTATTATTTCACTCTGTTATTACTGTTATTATATTTACATTATTTTACATTATTATTATTACATTTATTATTTTACTCTATTATTATTCGAAGGATACATAAGCACGTTTACATTGAAGAAGGTTAGAATAATGGTTTAATCAGAGTCTTATCTTAAATTACAGTTTTATGTAAATATTCAAAAACATTTAACCTACTGATGCCTCAATTAATGTAATTTTATTGACATCTATTTTTATTTTGAAATTTATCAGTAGCTGTTGTATTTTCCACCCTCGACTTATACTCAAGTCAATACGTTTTCCCAGTTTTTTGTGGTAAAATTAGGTGCCTCAGTTTATATTCTGGCCGGTTTATATTCAAGTATATATGGTAGGTGGATTTTTTTTGAAGATCTCAAGAGTGTATATATTTTTTCTTTGTCAGGTTATTGCTATGCCACAAAAATGACTTAGTAGGTGTGTACTAGTAAGCATGTTTGTGGGCTTAACTAGAATAAAATGTTGTAGCCAAGAAAGTGATGTAGATGGAACCAAATTAGCTGCACAGTAATCCTAAAATCCATGCCAAATCCTCATATTAGCTGTATTTGCTACTTTAGTTTTCCTACTAAATCTTTGTCGAGGCTAAAAGCAATGTGGCTTATGAACTAAGATAATCCTCTCTAATGCATCTGGCGCAACACTACGAAAATGATGCTCTTAACGTCAGAGTCACTCTGAATAAAACTCAGAGAAGTCAATTTAATCTAAACAATATAAAGAAAAACTGCTGGGTATTATAAGATCAGGAACATGTTATGAGGAAGAACATATCAGGAGGAACTTTGACCATCCAAGTTGGGACTACTAAGATCTGAAGTCATATGGAAAATCAAAGCTTCCTTCCCTGGCATCCTAGATTCTGCCTTAGACGGTCGGTCTACCTCGCACAATGCAGTGGGCAGCAGAAGCTTGCTGGGATTTCTTAAGTAATATTAATATATCTTTTTCTGAGTTGTTATAGGAATGAATATATTATCTCTGCTTGATACTGTGGAGAACTAACAAAAACCTAGAAATAATTTTGTCTGTTTAGTTAATGTTGATGGGTGGAGGGTTTTTGTTAAATCACAGACTGCCAAAGTGAAAGAGGTTTTTATAGTTCGGGTATTCCTTGTAGTTTCCCATTTTATAACTCCATCAGTAAAGGAAATAAAACTTTAAAAATCTAAAGTTATATTCTAGATTATCTGTACTTTAATATACAATAATCTTATGGCAAGACAAGTTTTATTAAAAAAATGCATTTTATGTTTTTAAAATAACACAGCCATTTTCAGTCTCTAATGGGATCTTTTTTTATTTTTCCCAATTTTTATCCCCCCAAAACTAGTTCCCCCAACCCCAAAAGATTTCAAAATTTCGAGAGATTTTACATCTTAGGCCACTATTCATTTCCTTGTGCTAGCTGAACTCATGTCATCTCAGTCTGTGTGCTTCTTAAGGGAGATCCTTGAGGCTTCTGTTTACATTCACATGAATGGAATATGAGTATTGTAGAATGTAGATAAGGGAAGCTACACAGAGGTTTGCATTTTCATTCAAATGAACACAACTCTAATGTAGACTCAGTATTCAATCTACAGAGACTGATACTGGGGTGAAACTGACATGTGCAGTTCATTTACTCTCACTTTTTTCCAAGTCAGGAGCAACTTGAGAAACTGCAAGTTGCTTTTGGTGTGACTGAATTGGCCGTTTGCAAGGACGTTGCCCAGGGGACGCTTGGATGTTTTACCTCCTGTGGGAGGCTTCTCTCCTGTCCCCGCATGGGAAACTGAAGCTGACAGACAGGAGCTCACCCCGCTCCTCGGATTTGACTTTTTGGTCAGCAGTCCTGCCAGCCACAAGGGTTTAACCCATTGCGCCACCAGGAGCTTCATTTTCTCTCTCTGATGTTAGTTGAACCAATTCTGGGCACTGCAATTGAAGGGAGATGTTGACAAGCTGGAATGTGTCCAGAGGACAGCGACTAAAATGATCAAGGGTCTAGAGAACAAGTCCTATGAGGAGCGGCTTAAAGAGCTGAGTATGTTTAGCCAGCAGAAGAGAAGGCTGAGAGGAGACATGATGGCTATGTATAAATATGTGAGGGGAAATCATAGGGAGGAGGGAGCAAGCTTGTTTTCTGCTGCCCTGGAAACTCGGATGCGAAACAATGGCTTCAAACTACTGGAAAGGAGATTTCACCTGAACATTAGGAAGAACTTCCTAACTGTGAGAGCTGGGGGGGGGGGGGGGGGGGGGGGGGGGGGGGGGGGGGGGGGCTTGAGGGGCTTCAGCCCCCCCCCCCCCGAAATTCTCATGGTGGTCCGCGAAAAGGCCTTACTGGTACATTATTTAAACTGTTATGTTTATTCATATCATGATCTGATCACCATGCTCAATATATCCCATATGCATGGGGGTATTGGGGTAATGATACAAAAGGTTTGCTAGAGTAGACCCTCTTTCACTCAGACTCACCCCCCCCCCCCCGAACCATAATCCTGGCTACGGGCCTGGTAAGAGCTGTTCAACAGTGGAACTCTTTGTGTGGTAGAAGCTCCTTCTTTGGAGGTTTTTAAACAGAGGCTGGATGGCAATTTGTTGGGAATACTTTGTATGCAATTTTCCTGCTTCTTGGCAGGAAGTTGGACTGGATGGCCCACAAGGTCTGTTCTGGCTCTATGATTCTATTAAGGAATAATACTGAATTAAGATGGGAGCTACAGTCCAGTAATATCTGGAGGAGCATACTTTTGACATCAAGCCATTAACGTTTCTTCTTGTTTTCCTAAGGAACAACTACTAGAATTCATTGCAGGAAAAATGGATCCAACTAATGAGAACAATTCCATCCTTTCTCCATCCTCCATACCAAGTAATAGATTGAGCCAGGATAATGAAGAGGTATGATGTGTGATTTTTGTATTGCATAGCAAAGTGAGCTGCTATTCTGTGTATCACATTTTGTATTTCCTCATTTCAGTAGTGATTGTCTATATAGGAACCACACCTTTGTTATACAATTGAGAACTTAAGCTTAATTTCAACATTCGCTGAAAGACACACAAAAAAACCCAGGTATAGTTCTAAAGGTATCCTGTTTTAATATCAATAAGTCTACATGCTGATGATAAATGTTAGTTGGTTACTTTGTATTTTGCACTGTTTTATTTTATTATTATGTTTTATTTATTTTATTGCGATGTTATTTTGCCGTTCTGTACTTATTGTGCTGTAATTGTATTACCGGGCTTGGCCTCATGTAAGCCGTCCCGAGTCCCCTCTGGGGAGGTGGTGGCGGGGTATACATAAAGATTATTATTATTATTATTATTATTATTATTATTATCATCATCATCATCACTTCTCAGAGAGGCTACACCAAGTGTGGAGAAAGCATCATCTGCAATCTGCAGGTAGTCCCCAAACTCTTTGGGGTGCTCATTCCTTCTTAGCTAGAGGTGCTTTTGGATAAAACTACCTATCCTGTACCACAATTTCATCACAAATTAAATGTAGATCAGAAGTCCTGTTTGGAAAAGCCTTTTCCTCAGTTTCCTGAATCTAAAACAGGAGAATATGAGCACGTGCTAAAGTGGTGGAATTGCTCCCAGGGATATTTTCTTTAAGTTTAAAATATTTCATGGGTGTAGACTTGGCAGGGATATGGCTTTCCATATTCCCATGAGAATCCAATGCAACTTCCCAATGCTGCAGTTTGCTCATTTCTGGGCTAAAGAAGCAGTGAACCTGTTTTTCTTTAGCAGGCTGTGTAACCACGAACTCTTTTTTCCCCTGTTCTCAAAAGGTAGAATTACAAGCCAAGGTTTTGTTCTTGATTATAGCTTTAGCTTGTTGAGGAGAGATAAGTTAGTATTCCTGGTACATGGATCACACTAGACATAACACACAATAGCAACAAATATTTTGTTCATCCACTCCTGTTGGCAGAGAGCGGAACTGGGGAGCATACATGATCATGTTGCTTGTATACACTGAGTCAAGGATTTGGGGAAAAGTTATTTCTTCATCAGTATCTTGCTTTGCAAAAATACAATTTAAAATATGTAGACAATATTGGTAAAATCAAAGTTGAAAAATCCTTTTTAATCTCCAATTATGTTTCCCTTCCAATGTATACCGATGCCTTATCACACAAGCCTTATCAATGGCGTTCTGTTCTGAAGTTAACATGATTCCTGAAAATCTGACCTAAATGTGAGATGTCAAGCAAACTATTATTTGAAGATATTCATATGGTAAACGGTTTAGGTAACAAAATAGTTTAGATGATGAAATAATGTATTATCAGCTGAGTCAATATTGGAGGGTGGTTTTGGGGGGGGGGGTAATCCCATACTGCATTTAGAACTCCCATATCTGTAGAAAATATATACATGGTTTAATTTTTCTACAGATTCACTTATTCACTTAGAGCCTCCTATACAAGCTGCATTAGACATGGGCCAACTTTGACCTGCTAGGTATTTTGGACTTCAATACCCACAATTCCTAACAACCAGTAAGACGGCTGAGATTTCTGGGAGTTGAAGTCCAAAACACCTGGAGGACCAGCATCTTCTTGCTGTTAAGTCTTTTGTTTGTATGATTAACAATATTACAGTTTGCAAAGTCTTGAAACATATCCCCACAGTTATGGAGATTGTACTGTGTTAAATGTGGTTTGCAAAGTTAGATATCTATGTAAACCTATGTTTGTTTACTCTGTTCATCAACTAAATGACAGCATTTTTCTTTTTTATGTCAGCAATTCTTGATGCATTGTTAAATTATCATAGAATAAATAACATACTCATGTTTTATGCAGCTCCCACTGAAGGTGAAGAAAATTCTGTATGCATACTTAAGCTTACTAGCTAATTCCAAGAATGACCTGGCCTTTGCTTACATTTTAAACATCCCTGACAGAGGGCTTGGAAGAGAAGCTTTTACTGACCTAAAACATGCTGCACGAAAGAAACAGATGTCCATATATCAGGTGTGTATGATAGATCTTTTCTCACTTATTTGAAAGGAAAATTAATAGGTTGATATTTTTTTAGAAAGTACTCATGTTATTAGAGGGTGAATTGGGATTCCTTTTTCCCCAGGCAAAACTATTACATACAAAGTGTAATTTTCTATTGGAATAAGAGCAGGGGGTTGTTTTGGTGAGAAGTTATTTAAATATGTGGTGTAAACATGGACTCTGAAACTGTTCCTTCCTATTTGGATGATCACTTCAGTTCAGTCCTACAGAAAAGAAAAGGATATCCAAATAAGAAAAACTGCCAGTGGATACAGCCCTCTGGAGTCAAAGAGTTTTCACCCCCAAATTTTTGGAGATGGGAAGAATGGAGAGTCTTGAAGAACCTGTAAAAATGGTCTTAATGTTGTAGGCAGTATATAAGCTACGATTTCCTCGCTTTTTCATGAGACATTATTGATTTGGCTTTTGATAAAGTCCATGACTAAAAGTTCACAAACAACTGTAGATGTCACAGAAGTTTTTCAATTGATTGAAAGCCAGACAATTATCAGGAAGCAGGTCAGTTCTTGCAACTGGAGTTTTGTGAGCACTTGGGTTCCTTAGGGACTGGTGCTTTTTAATTTGTTGATAGAACATTTGGAACTGAGTAGAGCAATTTTGAGTGATGAGAACAAAAATGGATTTCCAAGAGCTCCAGCGCAACCTCTCCAAACCAGGAAAATGTGCAAAAACTGGTGAAGCACATTATTCCTTATTCAGAATTCCAAAATCTGCAGTTTTCCAAAATCATTCATGTAGGTGGATGAGATAGTGACACCTTTTCTTTCTAATTTTATATAAACTTTATTTCATGCATAAAATTATTTTAAAATATTGTTTATAAAATGGCCTTCCGGCTATGTGTATAAGGTGTCTTTGAAACATAAATTAATTTTGTTTTTTTTATGTACAAGTATTATTTTATTAGTACAAACTCTGACTATTTTATTCAGCAAAATTATGCATTTCTTATTAGATGGCGACCTCTTTTATCCGAACCATAGAGCTTGGTGGGAAAGGATATGCCCCTTCCCCAGATGATCCTTTAAGAACTCATGTAAAAGGCCTTTCACAGTTCATTCACTTTATGGATAAACTGGAGGAAATCATTGGTGAAATTCCAGATCCAGGGTAATAATTTTTTTACATTTCTATCTATATCCAGTGCTGTTTAAGTTTGATTCTATTATTATACTGAAAGATAATATATATAGACAATTGGAAAGAACACCAAGGTCCATGTAATTTCAAAACTCTGCTGGGCAGGAATATACAACTAAAGCAGTCCTTCAAGATGGCCATCCAGTCCTGCTCTGATCTTCAATGAAGGAGATTACACCACTTGTCAGGTAATCAATTCCACTGTTGGGAGAAATTTCTTCCTAATATTTAGGAATCCCTTTACTTGCAATGACATGGAGCAATGAAATGAGCCACGGAGCAGTGGGTTATGACTCCTCCTCTCCTATTCGGCATCACACGATGCACGAAGAGACTGCCGCATGCTCACACGGGGTTTCACTGTAAGCCCTGCCTGTTGTGACAATTAGAATAGAAGAATGCCATGACGTATCTCACACAAGCTGTGTCTATTTAATTGGTTGAGTGCCTCCATTGGTTTCAGTTGCATCCTGTTCCTGTTGAGGTCCTTAAGTCTGATTGCCTTGCCACTTGCTCTCAGCTTTATCTTTTGGCTTGGCTTAGCCTCTCTAGCATTGAATCTTTTTGATTTTCCTATATTTTCTCCATTCTTTTTATTTAGTGGGGCTGGGAGTTGGGAAAGTGTGGGACAGGTGGGTGGGATGCTATAAAAATAGCAGAAAGGTAGTAGTAAGATTTTAAATTGATTTATCAGACGAGGATATATAGAAAAATAATCCCAATGCTCCTCAGCCAAAATTATAAAGCCATCAAAAGGTAGAGGGAGTATGGTTGTTGAACCAACTGTATATTTAAAAGTTAGGAACTGGGAACCACTGGAACTGAGAGACTTAAAATAATTCTTCAAAAGATTTCTGCTGCCACCATATTAATAATAAACAGGCTGAGGTATTATTGAGAAATTGTTCAGTAACACACCCTGTGCCACTATAGATTCTTAAAGGCTGTTAAAAGCTGACTTGAATAACGCTTTGACCACAAAGGTATTCACACTGAAGCTGGTATAAGTTGATAAAAATAACAAGAACGTTTATTGAACAGGCTTGAAATATTCAGGTACAAATGCTTAATGGTTTCAGTAAAATACTGGCATAAAAAAGCTTGTGGTTGCGTTTAAGTAAAGATCTTAAAAACTTCTGGATTACAAGCCTTAAAAGTTCCACCACAGAAAATTACTTCAGGAAATGAATCTCTGATAGTAACTCCCCCAAATCCCCCTTAGGAATCTAGCCAAAAACCCTGAACTAGACTTCCTTAGGAAATGAACAGACCACTAACGGGGTGCTGCTTCACACAGTATTCTAGCTATATTCTCAATAGCTATTCTGAATACTAAATAAAAGACTGACCCAAACTTCTTCAAAACCCAGACTGCTCTTGCTAACACCCACACTTCTTCTCTCTACCCGTTCCAAACTCCAACTGGCAAACTGGGACCTCAAACCTCAGTTTAAAAGCCACTTTTTTCCTTTAGATCATGTAGGCACCGCCCCCATCTTCCTAACCAATCCTAGCCTTCTAACTTTCCTTCCAAGACTAGAACACGCCTCCTCAAGGCAAACCTAACCTAAGGTGGCGTCTCCCTGTCTCCCTTTCCTTAAATGGATGCCGTGGCTTCACCAGGCCCACTCCCTTAGGCTTCCGCCAGCTAGCTAAGATAAGGGATTCATTACAGATGCGCGTGTGTGCATTTGGGGACCTGAGAGAAAGAAAGAGCATCTCTTTGCTCTTCAAAAATGTTTGGGTTGAGTCACCCTTTCACTTCTTTTTCTCCTCCCCTCCCTCCTTCAAAAAATACTTTTAAACGATTAACAATTATTATTAATAACAATAATCCCAGCGAACAAACAGAAAAGCCTCATTCTCAGAAAACTACCTACTTATAATTTCATTCCTTTGCGAACAAATTCTGTTTATGAAGAATTTTTTAAAATTAAAATATGCATTCCTATAAAAACTAGGGGATGTTTTCAACCTTGTGAGCCTTGCTGTTTATATTTTTCTCTGCTCTAAAAAAAGAAAAATTCCTAAAAATCAGGGGATGATCCAAACATTATAAAACTTGGTGGACTAACAGTGATAGAGATGTCCTCCAAGTGATGTCAATTTCATCCTGATAGCCCTAAAATGATGGGAAGGGGAGCTTGGGAATCCCCCCTCCCATTGCTGCCAATGGGCCAGATCTAGCCACGATTTTTGGCTGTGGACCGAAAACAACTATTCAGCTACTTGCCCGTTTTCAAGAGGTGTGCGATTTGCTTTGGTCAGGTCTCCCGAAATTCAGCAAGCAGAAACAGATCAAGGTTCAGCCAAAATGAACAAGCCTATTGATTGCTAGTAATAGCCAGGTGGCTACATGAGGATTCTTCCAGTGTTCTTATTTCAATAGCTATGACAGTGGGGTTTAAGACTCCTGAGAGGTAAGAAAGTTGAGTGAGGCAGGATGAATATCTGATAAAGAGCATTAAAATATGCAAAGATTTGAATGATAGAGTATTAATTTTGTCTGTCATTTGGATGATAGGGTATTCTCTCTGCCATTATTTAAATTGGTAGATTTCCATTGAATTTGTGGGTGTAACCCTTGATTATACTTGGCAGGTCTTAACTTCCAAAATCTATGAAATAATATGTTATTATGCTATTAAGATCTCTAATATGCTCCTAATTATGTATTTCTACTGTACAACAATATGACAGATGTAATTTATTAATTATAATGTGAATATATACTTCTACAGTTTGTTATGACAGGAAAATAAAAAAGGCTGATTCTGCTTTAGCACTTTTTGAATAGTCATTGGGGACAACCATTCTTGGAATGTTCATTGGTGAAATAATTATGCTTTATCTGATTTTTGAATAATATATGTGGCTTGTCTCTGCTGTTTTTCTCATTCTAAAAATTCCCAAAACAGTTCTTTCTGTAAAGTTATAGCCTACCCTCCAAATTTGTGAGATAAACATTTGCAGATTTGATTATTTGTGGATTTGATTATTTGCCACTGCTGCCTGCCCTGCCGCCCTGCAGTAGTTTTGACAGAGACTTCGATAACACCAGTATCGCTGGAGGAAAGCAAACTTGCTGGGTAGCTGGGCTCAGCTGTGCACATACTCACTTGCTCACTTAGGTGGGATGGAGAGAAGGAATGGAACAAGACTCACTCAGCTAGAAGAAAAGCAGGGGATGGAACCAGGGGAGTTAGAGGAGAGAGTGGGTGGTACAGGTGTCCCCAGCACAGATGGAGGGAGTGGATGAGAGAGGAAAGGGGGAGAAAGCACAGGTGAGTGGTTGAGATGGTGGCAGCAGAAGGGGGACTTATATTATGGTGGCGGCAAGCACATGAAACATTTGCAATGTCTGTAGGTTCCTATTAAGCCCCATGGAGGTTGCTACCATAAGGCTCCTTCTCACTGCCCTTGCCCTGCACTGCTGTCATCCCTCTCTGGTGACAATAAGAGCACAAGAATCATGGCTGCTGAAAATCCTTTGGTGCCAATGACACCAAAGGAGATTTTTGCAGCATCCGGGTTTGTAGCATGCATATTTGGGGGTTTAAGATATTTGCTCTTTTCTCATTTTTACAGAAATTCTGCAGCCCTAACCATCATGAAAGTTGAGGGCTAAGTGTAGCTTCAATAAGATTTGAATACTTAAGTCATTAATTGCCTTATGTTCTTATAGCTGGGTGGAGAGATGAACATGAACACATTGACAGTTTCTCTGCCAGCATCACGAGCACACAATATCCACTGTGGAAGGCTTGCAAAGAGACTGTGAATGTGTTCACTTAAATATGGCTGCTGCTGCCCCAGTTATTTTTAATAGTGACTTCACCACCCAAATACTTAGTAATATGTGTGTTATGCATGTCCACTTAAATATGGAGGACCTGTTTTCTTGGGAGGAGAGCAATGACCAATCTCGATAAAATAAGTTAAGAAACATCACACTGGCAACAAAGATCCGCATAGTTAAAGCAATGGTATTCTCTGTAATAACCTATGGATGCGAGAGCTGGACCATAAGGAAGGCTGAGTGAAGGAAGATAGGTGCTTTTGAACTGTGGTGTTGGAGGAAAATTCTGAGAGTGCCTTGGACTGCGAGAAGATCCAACCAGTACATATTTCAAGAAATACTGCTCATCTGCTCACTGGAGGGAAGATTATTAGAGGCAAAGATGAAATACTTTGGCCACATAATGAGGATAGCTTGGGGAAGACAACGATGCTGGGGAAAATGGAAGGGAAAAGGAAGAGGGTCCAACCATGGGCAAGATGGATGAATTTGGCTTGACTTTGGAGGAGCTGGAGGTGGCCACAACCAACAGGGAGCTCTGGCGTGGGCTGGTCCTCGAGGTCACGAAGAGTCAGAAGCGACTGAACGAATAAACAACTGTACATCCCTTGTACATTACATTACTACAATTGTACTACATTACTACAATTACTACAACTGTACATTACTACAATGACACTTTCATAGCTGATTCAGTTTCATAAATTTGTAAATTTATGGAGGTTAAGGGTATGTGACCCAGTTGGATTCTGACTGAATGGGGATTCACTGGTGTCCAGAATAATAGTTTGACTTTCAAATAACTTCACTGGTTTCCCACGCTTCAGTTTTACATGGTGTTTTTTTAAAGTACCCTGCAAGGTAGATCATTTTGCTAGAGAGTGAATCAGTCTATTCAGTTTACTCAGAAAGAAGTCTTACTGTGTTTATTGGGAATTAGTCCAATGTAAATGTGCATAAGATTACAGCATGAATTCTTCGTTTATGATTTCTCATGCTTTAAATTACATTGGAAGTACATTCCTGCAGGGAGAAATATATAATTAAATGTCAGTAAAATATTTGGAGCTTGGAAGGAATTTAGCTCAAATATAATTTCTCCTGTGACTAGAACTCAATAATACAGATCATATCATTTTTTAAAATAAAGTTTTTGAAGTAGTTAAAGTGCTGAAGAGTTTACAGTTCCAGGTTCAGCACATGCCACCACTGCCCCCCAATCATTTTATTACACACCTTTAGGTTCAAGTACCTATATTTTGACAAGACTAATTCCGCTAAATTTTACTTATTTAATGAAATATCTGATGTTTTTGAATGTTATAAAATAATATTTTGAGAAATATATGTTACCTGCAGAAGACCCCAGGGGTGGGGAACATACTGAATTTCAATTGAATAATGTTCAGTATCTTGGGATGTTTTTTGGAGTTACTTCTTGTCTGATGGCTCCTTTAGTCTCAACGCTGAAGAAGTTTTAAATACGTATGCATGTTAGTATTTTGTAGCATAAAAAAGGAGGGGGGAAGCAGGGGTGGGGGATATAGTGAACACCTTTAAAACCAACTGGTTTTTATTTAATTTTATTCTATCTTTTGTGGATATAAGTCCACTTTTTCAGCTGTAGTACAGAGTGATACCAAGGCCTCAATATAAAGTATATTTACACAGTTGTGGGAGTAGGACATATAGGATTGGGAAGAAAGGTATAGTTATGAAAAGGTTGGGTGTAAATGTAGTTCATCATAATCATTATGCTTTCTGGTTTGTCATGTTTAATGATTTAGCAACAGACCTATCAATAGGTTTGAAGTTAATTTTCCTGTTAGAGAAATGAAAACAATGTTGTACACAATTATTTCCCTCTTACATAGAAAACACACCGATACGATTGATCATTCGTATGAAAGAAAGAAGTGAGCATTTGTATCCTTTTAAATAGTATTTGATTATTCCCACACACCCTCCCTTAATATTTTCTGCAAGATGACCAGAAGATCTGAATCAATAGATGGCTAGTAAAAGGTAAAGGTTTCCCCTTATATTAAGTCTAGTCATGTCCGACCCTATGGGTGGTAGTCATCTCCATTTCTAAGCCGAAGAGCTGGCGTAGCCTGTAGACACCTCCAAGGTCATGTGGCCAGCATGACTGCATGGAACACCATTACCTTCCAGCAGAAGCGGTACCTATTGATTTACTTACATTTGCATGTTTTTGAAGTCCTAGGTTGGCAGAAGCTGGGCCTAACAGCAGAAGGTCACCCTGCTCCCCGGATTAGAACCCCCAACCTTTCAAGTTCAGCAGCTCAGCAGTTTAACCCCCTGCGCCACAGGAAAAGGTTATGGTGTAACACTGATGCAAGTAAATAGGAACCAGCTATGAGTTGCCAATGTATTACTAAGCATTAATATCACTTGCAAAGTGTTTATTGTGCAAGCAAGGTAAAAGAAAAACTTAAGTAACCCAAATGTTAACTGTTTAGATCTTCTGGTCAGGTTAAATCCTTCATATGATCTATAAACAGTATACTTAATCTTTTGGCAAAATATTTCAGCACATAATAAAACAATCTTCTATTTGCAATCCTAAACATACTTATTTTGGAGGAAACCCAATGGAATTTACGTTTGAATTAATATGGGCTGTGTTGGGTTGGAAGACAGGTTTGCTTATATTGTACATGAATGCAAAATGAAGGAAACCATGGCATCATGTCTTACTGTTAATCCCTTACACAGTAGAACAGCACTTTGTCTTGGCCTTTCCATATGAAAAATGAATGAACTTTTCCTTTGGTTGCTCCAGCTAGAGTGTTTATATCTGATTGGGAATGGGGATTTTTTTTTCCTGGAAATGAAGAATGTGAGAAGAAGGATTAAATACTAGCTAAGGATACTAGCTAATTTGGAGCAGTAATACTAGATAGATTGTGATCTGAGGCTTACTTGTTGGGGTAGGATGCTGCCAAGGAATAATGGCAATAAGATACCTTGATACTTTCAGTTCACCATGCTCAGATGTCACCCTTAAGAAATTCATGATCTAAAATGCATACAAGATAAAAACAGAGAAAAGTACATACTGCTGGGAGGCTGAAAATATTTCAAGAGATTTATTATTTGAAGTCTTGTGCAGAGACTCTAGTGCAGCGTTTCTCAACCTGGGGGTCTTTTCTGTTGGTCATGGGGTTCTGTGAGGGAAGTCTGGCCCAATTCTATCGTGGGTGGAATTTTGAATGCTCTTTGAGTGTACGTGAACTATAAATCCCATCAACTACAACTCTCAAATGTCAAGGTCTATTTTCCCCAAACTCCACCAGTGTCCATATTTGGGCATATTGAGGATTCCTACCAAGTTTGGTCCACAGTGCTCTCTGGATGTAGGTGAACAACAACTCCAAAACTCAAAGTCAATGCCCATCAAACCCTTCCGTATTTTCTGTTATTTGTGGGTGTTCTGTGTGCCAAGTTTGGTTCAATTCCATTGTTGGTGGAGTTCAAAATGCTCTTTGATTGTAGGTTAACTACAAATCCCAGCAACTACAAATCCCAAATGACAACATTACTCCTCCCCCCAACCCCACCAGTATTCAAATTTGGGTGTATCTGGTATTTGTGCCAAATTTGATCCAGTGAATGAAAATACATCCTGCATATCAAATATTTATATTACGATTCATAACAGTAGCAAAACTACAGTTATGAAGTAGCAACGAAAATAATTTTATGGTTGGGGGTCACACAACATGAGGAACTTATTAAGTGGTTGCAGAATTAGGAAGGTTGAGAAACAGTGTTCTTGTGTCGCCAGTGACTGAAATTGAGGATCTTTACATAGGACAAGCCAGGTTTGCTTTCTTGTTACATTAGTAATTCAAGCCAAAGTACAAGAACTAATAAAATTAACGTTGTATAAACATACATAATGTACAAGGGCATAACTTGTTATTGGACTGGAAAGTTTATTCCTTCCTATTCATACTAGGAGTGTACTTCAGATGCTTAAAAAAACTGTGTTCATTGATACTCTGTTCATGTTGGCTGCTTAATTATAATAGGCAAAACACTTCTGGTGGCTTATGTGCTGCAGATTGTATAGTCAACAGAAATGTTGTATAACAAGTGCTGGATGATTTCAGTTCTTCTGAATGCGTTGTTCCCTATGTGGTTAATGAGTGTGCAGATAATGTAAGCGAACAGATAAAGCCGCAATTTAAAGTTTTTGCTGCTAGGCTACTTTCTTTTTCTGTTTGAAATAGTCAAGGATGAGTCCATTGTCCCTGCTTCTTAACTCTTATGATCTCCCAGTTCTTGAAAGCAAATGAACGCATTTAAGGGCAGGATCTCATTGCATGATGCTGTGCAGCTTAATAGATCAAAGCTGTTGGGTAAGCAATTTTGAATAGCAATGAATACTGTCTGTTTTCAAAACTCTTAAATATATTAAGTAGTGCCAAGATGAATATGGAAATGACCCTAGGTTTGTTTTTAGACTCGCAGGGGGTCGGATTCTATCAACAATCAAGATGCATTTGATAAAAGGCCGAAACAGCAAGGATCCCTTTTGTCAAGCAGCAGAGGAAGTTGTACAGGATTTGGATTTGAGGATTAAAAATATTAAAAATTTTCAGCATGAGGCTATGGCAGCTAACAGCACTGGAATCAGTCCAGCCAGGGTAAGGGGCCTCCTTTTGTTCTTCCAAATTAATAAGAGGAAAGCGAGAGAGGATATTTCCCTAAATACCCAGATTGTAGCAAAGGAGTGAGTAATTCAAGTTTCCTCTGAAATGAGGGTATTGAACTTGCTGAAATAAAGGATTTGCTAATGTCCTCACAAATATTTCTAAAGATTTGTGGGTGAAAAAAAACTTCCTTGGGAATTTAATGTTGAACAGTTTAATTTATAGCAACATATTCTTGATGATTTTGTATTCTATCCAAATTTCTTTAGATTCTGTTTTTCAAAAAACCCTTGGCTTGCTTCCCTTATCCTATTGAAATATATCTATTGAATTCTCTTTGGTGTGGTGGCTTAGGGGGTCTTTGGTGGGACGAATTTGTAATATTAAATCAACATAAATTAGTTCACTTTTTGTTTATGAACAAAACCAGAAATATAAAGAAATGTTTCATTCTACAAAGTTTGTTATCGTGAATCAAAATGCATATGTATTTTGTACTTCCTTCATATGAATCTAAGTGCTTTACATTGGATGAGCTAACAGTGTAGACCAGGCACAGGCAAACTAAGGCTTGGGGGCTGGAAACTGCTCCCTGGATGCTTACCTCGGACCTGCCTCGTTTTTCCTGTCCTCTTGGCATAAGGACATGGCGGCCCATGGTGTCCTTATGCTAAAAAGACAAGGGAGAAAGGCATGCAGCAGCCAAGAGTCTTCTGGAGCACTCTCAGCCACCCTGTGTCTCACTCTCTTCCTCCCGGCATAAAGGTGGTGCAAGTGGACCCATTCTTATGCTGGGATGATGACTCGAGGAAGGCACGTGGTGGCTGGGAGCCCCCTTGGATTACTCTCAGCCACTGCCTGTCTTGTCCTCCTCCCGGCATAATGCCCAGAGGATCAGGGGAGGAGAATCGGGGCAGTCGCTGCATGTCCCACCTTCCTCCCAGCATAAGGATGGGGCGAGTAGCCCTGTCCTTATGCGCAGAGGCCTTGCCCAGACCCCACTCTCTCTCAGGCTCTCCCTGCCCAGCATGTGCTGACCCCCTCCCTCCTGGCATAACCCTCCCAGCCAGGCCTGCAGTGCAGCCCCAGGGCAAAAAAGTTTGCCCATGCTTGGTGTAACTCTGTATTCAGATCCCTCCTATGTAATCTTATTAAACATCATAGTATAATAGTATAGTAATTCTGCATAATCTTATTGAATCTAATAATCAATATTTAATTGCAGCCCAAAGTGCATTCTATAAACCATGGAACTGCATACTGTGGCAGAGATACTGTGAAAGCTTTATTGGCTCTTCTGGATGAAGCAGCTGCCAGTCCTCCTCCGAACAGCAAAGCTCAACTGTTGTTTGGTGAAGAATTTGGATTCCCTTCTACCATCTTGCTATTTAGGCAAGTGCTGAATAGAGATAAGAACAAAGTTGCTTATTTTTTGAAGACAGATTATTTAAATCTTTGTTTGTGTTGGTGGCAGCGTTTAGGTGGTGAATCAGGCTGAAGCCAATGATAGACAGAGCTGGAGCTAAAATGGCCAGCTGTCTCCACAATTTCTGTACTTCCCCCTTTCTGTTTATGGTTTGATTTCTGACACCCCATTTTCAGGAAGGTTAAAGGACCAAGCTACTATCCCTGGGTTATCTCCTTGTGCTAGCTTTCAAGGTCAGTGACCAGTGTTACCACCACTGCTCTTCCCTCTTTTTCCTCCTGTTTTGTTAGATAACCCTGCATGCTCTAAAGTGAAATCACTCTCTCTCTCTCACACACACACACACACACACACAAAGTTAAAAGTGCAACCCAGCTCCATCCATGGCTGTCTCTCTCTGTGTGTGTATGTATATAATACAGTATGACTCCCATATCCATGGGGAATACATTTCTGGATTTGTGAAACTGCAGATAATAACGAATCCTTTTCAATGGGGCAAATAATAGAGCTACCAAGAAAAAGGTGTTGCTTGCAGAGGAGGCCCTAAGACTGCCTGGGATTTCTGGGAGTTGTAGGCCAAAACACCTGGGCACCCACATGTTGAGAACCACTGTCATAAGTGGATAAGTGAAACCATGAATAAGTGAAACCTTGAATTGGTTCCATTTATATGGGGGTTAATATGTGGATTTTCAAAAACATCTGTCATTTCTTCCTCTAACATTTCTCTTGTCTTGGCACAAGGGTATAAGCCAGGGTTAGTGGATTGTTTCTAGACAATATCAATCTCTTATTCTCTTTCTACCCAGTTGTAGAAACAGACCTTGCTTACCATGTCTGAATAGATCACTTGCAGAGTGCTGCATAAAATTTTGGCCAAAAGTCACAGGTTGTCAATCTCTACTATGTAAAAATTATTCCTTATACAGATAAAAAATGGCCAACACTCATAGTCTGGAAGTGTGGAGCATGTTTATGATAAGTGAATCCCCCAGGAGGCAGATTCATTCATTAGTTCTGGAATGACCAAGTAAATATGATAATATTCTGGACCAACAAAATTATTATAATCCCTTTGTTAATGCAACACAGAAAAAGAATGAAAAGGAAGAAGAACATACCAAGATGGTTACTGTCTAAACTGTTGTACCTTGCTAGGAGTTACATGAAATATGTTTATTAAGCAACCTTGATGTTCCTTATGGCCTGGATCTGTCTAATGGCATTCTGCTTGCAGAAAAGACATGCTCATACAAAGTTAGTTTTATATTATATGCGAAGGAAGAACTCAATTCAGTATTCAGTTGGTCAACGAGCTGCATTCCCACTTGTGGAAGTAGTAGTATGCCCAAGAATCATATGGATCATCTGGAAAAATCACTGGGAATGCCATTGGTGCACTGATTCCTTCCATGAAGATTTAGTTGAGTTTAAGCAATTATGATTTTACAAAATGAAAAAAAATCTACAACATTTAACAGACCATCATAGTCACTGTAATTGATCTGGAAAAGAGATGCTGTCCCTTTTATGTAATGTTGATATGAGGGAGACCTCCACATTTAAGGTGTAGTCTTAATTCAGTAACTTCGTGGAATTTCCCCAGCACTTGCACATTGCTGCAATGACTTGGCAAGCAATATTAGAATGCAAGAGCCCATGATTCAAGGCTCCCATCCTGTTTGAATTCTGGTCTGTTAAGGCGTGGGACAGAAATGTATTTCTTTCTCTAAATGAAGTTGAATTCTTGAGTCACTGGCATGGCTTGCTACTCTTTCCTGGTACAGCTGGAGAAGGAATTTCACATTTATTAGATCTGTTTGTAATCAGACTAATAAATCTATTTTTGGTAATTAACTACATCCTTTTGGGATCTAGAACAAACATATCAGAAGTGGTGTTTGTTTTTAAATGATACAGGCCCCTTATCCACAATTTAGATATCCTCACTTTCATTTATCCATTCTCTGAAATAATACTCCCACGGAAGTGTTTGTGGGCCTCTCTATGTCTCCAATGTTAGGTATGCTTCTAGCCCAATTATTTTCAAAATACAGTGTTTGCTATTATCTAGAGCAGTGGTGTCCAACCTTCTTTTTGGCCATGCCCCACCAGAACATCTTTAAAATCTTGATGTCCCCCTCCCTTGATGACATATCATTCTTATTATTCAAAAAGCGAGTTCCTATTCATGTGAAGGAAACCCAAAAGCCCATTCAATTGGTCTAAACAAGCTTCCAAAGATCATGCCCTCCATGGAAGAGATCTAATAAAAGAACGAAAGGGCAGTTGAAGTACTGAGGAAGAAATCACTAAGAAATTGTTAAAATAATAATAATAAGTGTTATGATATAAGATACAGTCAGATCCTATGTGCTTTCAGAAGGCAAGCAGGGTCAGGCTTGGTTAGTATTTTAATCGGGAACTGCTGTGGAATACAAGCTACTGTAGACTATATTTCAGAGGAAGGCAGTGGCAAACTACATCTCAGTGTCAAAACCATATGAAATTCATGAAGTCAATATAAATTGTGGGGTTGAAAGCCATACACTACATCTGATTTTGGAGTGAGTGGTTTTGTTCCTTTAAAACAGGTACTCTCAATCTGCATAATATGAAAACACCACTAAGACTTTTTAGTGTATACTGTGGTCCCCATCACTGTTTACATATCATTTACCTATGATGTAGATCTCCAGTACAGCCCAGTGGAACTTCTCCAAAAGCACTGAGACAGCGGATTGAAATAGCAGCACGTGAAAGAGAACCGAAGGTACAGCAACAGCAAAATAATTGCCTTAATTTTTAAAATCACTTATTGAAGATTTAAACATAATTGAATATGTAGCTGCTATTAGTCCCAGAAAAACATCCCATTCCTGTTTTGAATGGCTTGGATCCCAGTCAGCTAAAGGATCGGCTCCTCCCAGGCATGTAGCCGGGGGGGGGGGCTCGGGGGGCTTCAGCCCCCCCCCCCCGAAATTTTCATGGTGGTTCGCGAAAAGGCCTTAATGGTGCATTATTTAAACTGTTATGTTTATTCATATCATGATCTGATCACCATACTCAATATATCCCATATGCATGGGGGTATTGGGGTAATGATACAAAAGGTTTGCTAGGCTAGACCCTCTTTCACTCAGACTCAGCCCCCCCCCCCGAAACTCAGCCCCCCCGAAACCCCCCCTGAAAAAAATTCAGCCCCCCCCCCCCCGAAATGAAATCCTGGCTACGGGCCTCCCATATCATTATATCCACTACCGTACCTAAGATCTTCTCTGTGCCCCTTTGACAGTAAAACGAAGTTGCATTAAAAGAAGAGATGGAGCCTTCATTGTGGATTCACCGAAATTATAGAATAGCTTGTCCATGAAGCTCAGGTGTGCTCCTCTCCTCTTGTTTTCTGAAGACTGACGAAAGCACTTTTATGCAGCAGTCAGTTGCCATGGTAGGCAGATTGGGCAAATATATAAAAAGTTTTAAAAGAAAGAGATCGACCCTTCCTTCATTGTACTAAATTTTACAATAACATATTTGATATTACTGTATGTTGTTGTGATTTGTTTATATAGGTATAAGAAAGGCTTGATAGATTTCATAGATTTCATGTATTTGTATTTGTTTTTTTTTCTCTTTCAAAAACTTTGTTATAAATTGGGGGTTTTTGTGCACTTAATCTCAAATGTTAAACTTCCCAGAATAGATACCGTAATTATTGTCCTCTTACAGGTACAGTATGTCCCATTTATAAGGTGAAGAATGCTATTTTTTAAAATTTAGGCTTGACTTTTTAAAATAACTTTTTTCAGTGTTCTGAAATTTTAGTGTGTTTGCATTTTCTGAGAATTCCTTCATATTAAATACTGTATGTGCCACCTCTTGGATATATGGAGAGATTTCACAGGCAATGGCTAAAAAAGCAACAGGACTGTTTTCTGTCACAAAGAGATAAAACCATGTCTTTATGAATGAACAGTTCACATTCATCTGCTTTGTTTTATAGCTTAAGCAACCTTTAATTAGATCACAGTTTGCTTGCACCTATAAAGATGACCAGATGATAGCGTCAAAGAATCAGCACTCCAGCACATTTCATATCCCATCTTTTGTACATCCAGCACCAAAAAGACTGGCAGCTCTGTTTGTTCATGATGAGCTGACTGAAGGTAAGTTGAGTTGGCAGTAAACCCTTCAAGACTCCCCCTTTCCCCTATATATAATTCTACATTTGTGATGAGCAGAAAAGATTTGCATGTGTTGACCTCTTCTAGAGTCTAGAGGTCTTCTAGAATGTTTGGCCCAAAGATCGTTTTGCATAGTGATCAGTCAGATTGTTCTGAGAACTGGACAAGTAAGACATTGAGGAAATAGATATTACCCTATACTTTGCCTTCTAACAGTTGACAATTTAAGGTGGAACAGTGTTGTGTTTACCTACACAAAGTTTCATTTTTCTTCTTGTTGCGCCACCATGTTTCAAGAACTCCTTCACAGTTTGCTTTTGTTTTTTACTGTTCCAAATAATTGGACATTATTTTTTCAATTGATCACTAGCCATGTGACATTCTTGATTTGAGATAAATTATGATCTCTTTAAATATGATTCAACCCCATGTATATTCTTGAAGACTCCTCTGTTTGCTTCTCCACCATTCATGTATGTTTTTTTAAAAGCCCTTTCTATTAATTTCAGTTTTGAAACATTCAGGCATTCAAAATCATTTTGTTGCCATTGATACCAAAATAGAATTGTATTGTCAAAGGCTTTCATGGGTTGTTGTAGGTTTTTTGGGGCTATATTGCCATGTTCTAGAGGCATTCCCTCCTGACGTTTTGCCTGCATCTATGGCAACCATCCTCAGAGGTTGTGAGGATGCTTGCCATAGATGCAGGTGAAACCTCAGGAGAGAATGCCTCTAGAACATGGCCATATAGCACAAAATAGAATTGTTTGTATGTTCTTATTTATCATTGCGTAGTGTGTGATCCAGAAATACCACTAGGTGTGCTTTTGGAAGGCAGTCTTACATATGAATTTGACAATAATGGATACATCTTGCTGCAATTCCTGTAAGCATAACAGTTAATTCCCAAAACAGTTTGCATTGTGATTTTGTTCACTCTGTTGTATTTTCTGTGATCATGGTAAATGCAGCTAACTCCATCCGTGGTCATTAGATGGTTGTCTGAGTTGAGTTGGGACTTCACAAACTAAGTTACTTTCTATGAATTAGGCTTTCCTTAATCCATGGTCCAAATCTTTTTGCTGTCACCCACTTTTGACAGTCTTTTAATAAAAGGCTTTTAAAGAGATTGTGGCTAATTACTAGAGTAATTTTCTTATTTAGATCAATAGATACTTGCATTATGCACTGGTTTAGTGTTTCCTGTATTCTTTTCTGAACTGTGGCTTCCCTGTGTGTTTCCTGGAATGGGTGATGGAATTTTGTTTGAAAAGAATGGCTAGGGTCCCTTATCACATTTGGTTTCAGTGGAATTCATAGACAGAGCAAAATTAGTCTGGAACATCAGTGTGCAAAGGGATCCTGTAGCACTTTAGAGACTAATGGAGAAAACGAAGCACTTGACAAAGTAAACTTAATAATCTATGAAATTTACGCTATGAATTTCTTTCTGTTAAAGTGCTGCAAAGACCATTTGCTTATTGATTTCAGTAGAATAGCTTCTTTAATTGGATTATGTTTCGTTCTTTTATAATGAAGCAATCTTTTTGTAAATAACTAGCATACCAGAAAAAAAACATGTAATAATTTATGGCTTTTTCCTCCTTAAAATGCACTATTAATCAACAGAATATCCACACCCAAATCTTGAAAGTGCTGCCCTTGGAACAAGTTCTGGAAATCTCCAACAGAATGGAAGTAGAAGTAAAGAAATAGGAAAACTAAGTGGCAAGCCAAGAAACAACTCAAAAAGGAAGCAGGTGGATAGGACAAGTGAAAATGCCATAAGCGCTAATGAACATGAATCACTTCAACACTTACTCAGTAAGAGACCAAAGACTGCAACAAGTTGCCAGAATAGTTTGGATACCAGCATAAAGAGAGAGAGGAAATGCAGCAAAGTTTTAGCCAAACATAAACTGATTGCTGGTCAATCAAAACTAACTCAGTTCTTTCGGTTGTAAATGTTATTATTGTAAAAATGTATAGATATATCATCACTTTCTAAACACTGAAAAATACCTCTAGTATCTCCTTTATGAGTGTTTGTGGAAATAATATGTACAGTATTCTGTGTTTGCAGAAATGAATCAACAAGTTTTGCAGAATTCTTAGTTTTAATAACATGCTGTAATTCTTATTGATCAGAGGATAATATGACACAAAAATATTCAGGATCTGGATGGATACATTGGAATACTTTAAACCACAGGTACATCTTCAGTGAAATGTCAAGAAATTATTTTATCTCTTCCAAATGATGCATTTCGGCAGTAATTTAAACTTGCCCACAAGGTCGATAGACTCTTCCCAACATGCACCTAAGCACTGAAGAAAAACATTCAAGATGAATAACTGACATATTTGTATAAAATGATTTCATTTGGATTTTTAATTTTAGTTAAATGTCAACATGTTTTCCCTGTTTTCATATCCTTAAAGTTTTTTGGGGTGATTTTTTTCTAAATAAAGTCTAAGATTTCAAAACCATTTAAAAAAGAAATAGTAGCTGTTCAAATAATTTGTCTCAAATATTACTACGAAAACCATCCAGCTATATCATTTGATCAAAGTAATCTCAGAATTATACTTACTGTCAAAATCTCTTCTTCCAATAGGTAATTTAACAGAATTTTCATCATCTCCAGTCTCTCTCCTTTCTTGTACTACTTCATTATTTTCAACATCAGCATCGGCTGACAAAGGCATTGGTCCTTCCCGTGCAAAATAAGGAAACTGCTTAATACCCAGTTTCAGTGGTGGTCTGTCATGTTTAGAGCCTATATGCTGAATAAAAAAGACAATAATTTATATATAAAGGGAATACATGTACACTGGCCAGAATCCAAAGTAGAATGGCCCTAATCCTACCTGAAAAATCTCTTCAAAAATATAGAGTGTCCTTCTCATTGCAGATTATTAAGGCGCACAGAAGATCAGAGGGTGAACAACTGACATCTCAATGTATGGAAGATCAATGTATGAAATAATTCCAAGAGTTAAGATTTTGCAGGCTTGTGTATGCATATTCCAGGTCATGTTCCATAGTTGTTAATTGGTTAGAGCTTCATTTTCAACTGATCCTGTATTAAGCCACTAATGATATAGCTAAAAACAAAATGAGTATTTTGAAAGCCTAAGGAACAGTGTAGCTTAAAATAATGTGCATTGAAGGGTTTAAAATTGAAAATGTTATTTGAAGATTATACTGACATAAAAAGATCGGTGTTCTCTGGATGCTAAATACTCCTATTAGATTTAAACTATATATATTGGCATACAACTATATATTGGCATACAAGGCATTCTCTGTAAAGATTTATGACAAATCTTTTCTTAAAAAGGAAAGAAAAACTCACAGAAAACGTTTGGATTCCATCCTCTTCATCCAGAAAATTGCTGTCCTCCATTTTATAATGTTCAAGAGACGATACAGGCCATGACTTTTCAGCTTTGCCTCCATTCTGCATTACTTTCCCAAGGCTGAACGTACTTAGCAGCATATCATCTTCTGCTTTCCGCATAGACTTTGAAACTGAAAGTAAAAAACATTGAGAAAAGAGAGAGAAAGTGAGCACTAATGTGTAGAATGAGCTATACATTCTTTCATGCATTCGAGTTTGCATGGAAGTGAATGAAATTCAAATATTATTGGAAGATGTTATGTTTGGTTACAAAAATGCTATGTTTATATAGTATGTGGGATGAATAGGTACCACTTGAATGGCTTATACCATTTGTAAGATGGCCATTTGTGAAGAGGGTGACCCTCCGTACACTATTAAGTTTCTTTTATTTTAAACCACTGGTGACTTTTTAATATACTTGGGATTATACTATATCACACATTGCAGGAGATTATAATTTATGATGACTTCTTTTGCCTCAACTACTTCTCTTTCTGAAGTGGACATTAATTCCCACTTCAGAAAATATCAGAAAGGAAACTAATTTGGTCATGAGAGGAAACAAGGAATGAGGAAATGGTCCTTGTCTGTAATGTGAAAATAACAGACCATAATGTTTCATAAATGAAATGCCTATGCTAAATGTTCTTTAAAATCATTAATAATGTGGACAAATCGCATAGAATCCCCTGTCACTTCCTCTCCTTAAATCGCTAGAATTCAAAGTCACTGAAATTAATTTGATATTCAATTAGTTTGGAACAAATAAAAATAAGTACTTCCCTTTTAACTAAAGAAAATTTGCTCCTAGAAGGTATAATGATTATCCCTAATCCTTTCATAGGTTTAGAAAAATCCACAGAGGATTAATTTGTCACTTTTATTTAGCCGTAGTCCCTTGTCAAATCCAATGTGTTGTTTTGTTATTAAATGCTGTGGGAGAAATCAAGGCACATCATCACTGTGCTCTTACTTGGTAGCTTCTGGGAAAATTTCTTATTACTGTTGAAATAATAATAATGCTGGATGTTATAACTATATCAGTGGTTTTTAACCTGTGGTCTGTGCACCACCAGTGGTCCCCGAGAACAAAAATATGGTCCGCAGCCTCACCATTATGACAACCATGCGGCAACAAGAGGGACTGGTCTTGCAAAACCAGTCCCTCGTGTTGCCACATGGTTGTCGTAACAGGGATGTCCAGAGGGGAGAGACTGACTACCCAGGAAAGATTACTACTACCACATCAGCTCTAGATTATTAAATGTGGTTTTTTGTGGGTGAGCAGATGGTGACTACTGGATGGCATATGTTCTATATCAGATACTAGAGCTTATGTGGTCTATGCAATGCTGTTTTATGAATCAGCACCCCGAATAAGCAAACTGAATCTAAAGTTGACCAAAAACTGATTTGTAACCCCTTTGGTACTCATGTTGGAGAGTGGTCCCTGGTCAAAGTGGTCCCTGGTCAAAAAAAGATTGGGAACCACTGCTTTACATGATGCTGCATAATAATTCTTATGCTGTTTCCCATATCTAACAGAGGTCATTTGCTATCATTTTATGCTACAAAATTTAATGTGGAAGTGAAATAGAACTATGAAGTGGCTGTGAACAAGTTAAAATATTAGTCCGCTCAAACCACCTGGCATGTTTGACTCAAAACCCAGTTACCTGGAAATAATTTCAGTTGACCTGAGGGGTAGGTCATGTTGATTTCATTTGCAGTTGCATAGAAGACATGTGTGGACCATTAATATGATGCCAGATTGCTTTTATACTATGAGTGTGTCACTAATTACATTGCACCCTGATTATTTGTGCTAATGTAGATAGGACCTAACTGCTGTAATCATATATGTGAATGGAAGAGGATAACAGACAATGGAAAAACAGCCTCATTTCCTTCTGTAAACTTGAATTCTGAAAATTCTTAATATTTGATAATGATTTATTAAGCGCCTTTTTGGAATTGTTTATATATTTGAGGAAAATAACTCCCTGAGAAAAGTTGGACAGCTAATGAAAAATTGAAAATATTGTTATTTTTTGCTTCATAATTCACATACTTTTGTTATATATTGTTCTGTACTAATAATAATAATAATAATAATAATTATTATTATTATTATTATTATTATTATTATTCTGCCACCATGTCCCAAAAGGGACTTGGGGCGGCTTACAAGGCACTACAAGTGTAGTATATAACATAAACAGTACATGAGTATAAAAACAATATTACATAAAAGTTATAAAAACAATCACTATCAACATTTAAAATAAAATAAAAACACAGTTTAAAACTCAAACCATCTGCAGCTAAAACTACTTGGTGATATTTGTTCAAAATAGCTTAAAACACAGTCATCTATCTCCTACCCCTCAACGTATAAACAGGAATGCTGGTGTTTGTAAAATATAGCATTACAGTTGGTGATGTTTGAGTGGAAATATTACTTGTATGCTTCAATGCTGAAAAAATATAACAAGCTGTTTAAAGTTTTCTTCATTCTAGTAGGAGTGGACCTAAAATTATGTAGATGCATCATGGATGGTTAGTGACAACCATTAATGAGGGTGCATATCTGTTCAGTCAAACTAGTGGGTCAAAGTTAAGCAAAATGCATGCAGGCCCAACAACTGGAGCTCCATCCAAGATGGGAGGAAAAGAGGGTCACTATAGGGTTGTTAACTGCCATCAAATGAACTTAGACCTATGGCAACCCTATGAATGAGAGACCTCCAAGTCACCCTATCTTCAACAGCTTTGCTCGAGACTCACAGACTCGAGACCATGGCTTCTTTGATTCTGTCTATTCACCTATAATGTGATCTTCCTTCTGCCTTACCAAGCATTATTTTCTTCTCAAGTGAGTCATGCCTTTTCATGATATTGCCAGAGCATTACAGTGAGCTTAGTCATTTTGAAAGAAGGGATCAAGAAACATCAAGTTAGTCAACAGTTCAGTTATTGGGGACAGAGCCTATAGGTAAGAGCTCTGCATGTCTTGGCATGCCTAATTGGTAATTTAATTAACTATAGCAGATTGTAGTGATTGTTCAAAACGAGCTCTAGGCTGACATTTTATTTGGACTGGGGAGCACTATTTAGACATGTCCAAAACAGCTGAGTTGAAACTATCATTAAGTAGAGGAAAGAAAATTTTGGAGGGTTTTTTGGTCATGTAACATGGAAAAACARACATTAAGAAATTAGTTTTATAACATCACAGTGCAAGGATTTTTTTTATATAAACTAATAGTATTTGCAGATGCAGCATTCTTCATACGTGGTTGTATTGCCAAGCATATTGAAAGGCATGTAGTCGGAAGAGGGGAAAGAATGAAATATCATTTTAATACAGTAAAGTTGGAAGGAGATTTAATTGTATTCAYATTTTGAATCTTCCTCACAGCAGCCAATAATCAAAGTGAGGGGMTGGAAACAGAATTAATAAACTATCTAATGGAAGGAAGAAATATTTGTATTTGTTCGTGCATTTCTGTAGCTCTACAATTTTTCGTAAAAAGTGCAGTATCTCAGTTAATTTCAATTAAATTATTCATAACTCAATACCTGCCGTTAAATCCATGGAAGTGTTGGCAGTCTGTCATCTAAACTGCAAAAGAGATCCATAACTGAAGGGTTTCTGCAGTCTAGAGTGTATCTACACTAGAATAAATGCAGTTTGACACCACTTGTAACTGCCACGGCTCAATGATATGAAATCCTGGGATTTGTAGTTTGGTGAGGTGCCAGCACTCTTTGGCAGAGAAGGCTAATGAACTTGTTAAGCTATAACTTCCTTGATTCTATAGCACTGAGCCATGGCTATTAAAGTGGTGTCAAACTGTATTAATTCTACAGTGTAGATGCACCCTGTATCTATTCCATGGTTCAATTCCCTGAAGAAGAGAGATTGTATGTATGGTAATGTTAACATCTTTTGAAGAAACAACAGCAGTGGAAGGTCTTAATGGGGCCCCAGATGCAGGGCCATACCTATCATAAGGCAAAGCAAGGTAACCATATCAGATGGTAGAGGCTGCAGGGAAGGATGTGGTGGTACCTAGCTTACACTCTGCCCACAGAATTAACCCATTTTAATTGGGTGCAACAGGAGATGCTGACTCATTGCCTACCCTGAAATAACATTGAACTGGCAGCCTGGTTAATAGAATTAAAGGAGTTGCTGCTACTTCCTTCTCAGCCACCAAAAATGCCTTGTAATGGATTTACTCCAAAAACATGAGAAGGAAAGACTTACCCATTTCAGAGTTCACTGTCACAGAGTAGTTTGGCAGAAAACATTAATTTCTGCTGACCCCTAAGTTAATGTTCCAAAGACTCTATGGGGAAAAGAGAATAGAGTTTACAGTTCCTGCAAGGTGTATAATAGCAGTACCTAGTATCTTCTGGTAAGTGCCTGGTCAAATTAAGCATTCTGTCAACAGGTGACTGCTTTGGAGCACTTGCTAGTTTAATTGGCTACCATCCCCATAAAGCAGCAATGCTGGGAGCACTGGGATTGAATTAAGGCAGAAAGTGACTTAGGTTGTCTGTGATACATCTTTGCAGCACTGTTACCAATGTTTGCAAAGTTGCAATGAATAGTGAATTTGTTTTATTCCAAGAAACTAAAAAAAAGTGGACTATGTCTTACCTGGAATTCCAGGTTCCAAAATACTTCACATAAATGATTGTTGTGTTCCAGAGCTCTCCCGATACCAAGGGCTAAATTTTATCAAACAAATACAAGATGAGCCAAGATCATATTTTTTTTAATGCAGAGAGTCGGGAGCAGGCCAGGTCGGGAGCAAGAAGAAACAGTAGCCAAGTTTGCAGTCCAAAAGTCAGGTGCCAAGAGTTGACTTATTAGAGTTCCTAAAACAAGTCCAAAGGTACAAACCAAAACTCAAGTACATAATGAAATTCAAATCCAAAATTAAAGTCTATATGCAGATGACACCCAACTCTATTAGTCCTTTCCACCTAATTGAGCCCCTGGTGGCACAGTGAGTTACACCCTTGTACCAGCAGGACTGCTGACCAACAAGTCAGTGGTTCGAATCTGGGAGAGCAAGTTGAGCTCCCTCTGTCAGCTCCAGCTCCCCATGCAAAGACATGAGAGAAGCCTCCCTCAAGGATGGTAAAACATCAAACTTGCTGGCGTCCCCTGGGCAACGTCCTTGCAGACAGCC